ACCGAAGACGTCTACAGAAATTCGTTAATTTTTACGCCTCATTGGCTACTATCGCAGGTTCATTTAGAACTTCTCCCACATTGCGAAACCGCTTACAACACTGAACCAGAAAGGCGTGACCTTTGACTGGAAAGAGAAGCAAGAGAGAGCATTCCAAACGCTCAAACGAGATTTGTCCACTGCACCAATACTATGCCTCCCCGAAGGTATAGAAGACTTCGTAGTCTATTGCGATGCATCGAATCAAGGGCTCAGATGTGTTCTGATGCAGCGAGGTAAGGTCATCGCCTATGCTTTGAGACAACTGAAGACACACAAGGTCAAGTACACCACCCACAATCTTGAACTAGGAGAAATTGTGTTTGCTCTGAGTATCTTGAGACACTACTTGTACGGTACATAAAGCACCATCTTTACAGACCACAAAAGCCTACAACACATATTTGACCAGAAGGAGCTCAACATGAGACAACGACGGTGGGTCGAGCTACTCAGTGATTACGAATGCGAAATTCGTTATCATCCGGGTAAAGCCAACGCAGTAGCTGACCCCCTAAGTTGGAAAGAATATTCTGGTCGTAGAGTCAAATCATTGACTATGACTATCCATTCACACTTGTCCACACTAATTAAGGCGGCTCAGCTGGACGCTTTGAAACCCGAAAATGTGGCGGGTGAATCCCTAAGAGGGATGGATAAGAACTTGAAGGTTAAGGGTGGCAGAGCTTATTATTTCATGGATCGGATTTGAACTCCGAAACTTGGTGGTTTCAGAGACTTAGTCATGCACGAGGTGCACAACACTCGTTATTCCGTACACCTCGGTTCAGATCAGATGTATCTGGATCTTAAAAAGTCATACTGGTGGCCTAACATGAAAGCCGAAATTGCTACCTTCATGAGTAAATGCCTTACTTGCGCCAAGGTCAAGGTCGAATATCAGAAACCCTCCGGTCTACTATAACAGCTTGAGATACCGGAATGGAAGTGGGAGCGGATCACTATGGATTTCATAACCAAGTTGCCCAAGACAATGGGTGGATTTGATACCATATGGGTCATCATCGACAGATTGACCAAGTCTTCACACTTCCTGCCTATCAAGGAAACAGAGAAGATGGAGAAACTTACAAGAAATTACATTAGAGAGATTGTACTACTGCACGGTCTTCCCTTATCGATTATCTCGGACAGAGATAGTAGATTAACTTCGAGGTTCTGGCAGTCGTTACAAAGTTCCCTAGGAACTAGGCTGGACATGAGTACAACCTACCATCCCCAGACCGACAGGCAAAGTGAGAGGACTATCCAAACCTTGGAAGATATGTTACGAGGCTGTGTGATCGAATTTGGGAAAGCATGGGATACTCATTTACCCCTTGTAGATTTTTCCAACAACAATAGTTACCACACAAGCATAAAGTCTTCCCCATTCGAGGCCCTCTATGGCCGAAAGTGTAGATCCCCTCTATGTTGGGCTGAAGTGGGTGATACCCAGTTAACTAAACGAAAAATTCCTGACAACACTCTCACAGGTCCGGAGATCATATGGGAAACGACAGAGAAGATTGTTCAGATTCATGAAAGATTGAAAGCCTCTAGAGTCCAACAGAAAAGCTACGCTGATAAACGAAGGAAACCGTTGGAATTCCCGGTGGGGGACCGCATCCTATTGAAGGTCTCACCCTGGAAGGGCTTGATACGCTTCAGAAAGTGTGGAAAGCTAAATCCAAGGTACATATGGTCTTTCGAGATTCTCGTAAGAATCGGCCCTGTAGCTTACAAACTTAACTTACCAAGCAAACTCAGTAACGTACATTCTACCTTCCATTTCTCGAACTTGAAAAAGTGTCTGACCGACGAGATTCATGTAATCCCACTCGACGAGATCGAGATCAACAAGAGCCTCAACTTCATGGAAGAACGTGTAGAGATCTTGGACCGGGAGGTTAAATAAATGAAGCAAAGTCTTATCCCGATAGTGAAGATTCGCTGGAATGCCAAGCGCGGACCTTAATTCACTTGGGAGCGAAAGGATCAGATGAAACTGAAATGTCCATTTCTTTTTCCTTAGTTATTTGTAACTACTTATTTGCTTAAACTCTAATTTTGGGAAGAAATTCTCTCTAACGGGGGGATGATGTAACAACAAGAAATTTCTATTCTGTACAACATTTCAATTCAATTGAAGTCGGAACAGTTTCTTCTAACTTTCAAGCTTTTTGGAATAAGTTTGAGTCCTTTTAAGTTAGTACTTCGGGAGATTCCAGGAGAGAGGATGCCCTAGGGTTTATTGTACAACAATAGAGTTCCAAAAACATCAAGATTTTGTAGTTTACTGCCCAAATGGTATTTGGACCGCAAACCCTAGTGACTATATATATGGCACTTAGCCATTTTTCACACTTTTTTCACCATTTCAAAGTTAGAACTCAAATCCTCTCAAGTAGCATCCGACTTTTCCTCCTAGATCTTCAACTTTTGAGTGTTTCTAGCCTTATTAAGTTGATATATTACTTAATCTAGTGATCTAACACACTTTCATCCGTGAAATTATTCCAAAAGGTTAGATCTTCATGTTTCACCAAGAACACACACTAGTGTTCATGGACTTTTAGCACCTTTTCAAGGATCTATCTTGTAAGTACTTCTATCCTAGAGTATCATAAGGCTTGTTACACTTACATATATCAAGAAAACACCCAAGAAACCAAGGATCAAAGGTGTTTATGGTTCAAGATGTTCTTGAACCGTAAACCCTAAAAAGGGTGCCAAAGTGTGCCTTTTACCCTCCTAAGCCTTGGAAACTAGCATGGATCCCTTCATTGATATGTTAAGGACTTGAAAACATAAAAATACCATAAAACATAGGGTTTTACAACCGTAAACCCAAAGGGAAATGGTCCAAGGGCCGTAAACTCCATTTAGGAGTGAAATGGTGCCCTAATCACTTCCATAAGCTTATAGTTAAAGTAGAATTGCTTCTAAGGACTTGTAGAGCTTCAAAAAATCATATGCTCAAAGGGGACTGAGATTACGGCCGTAAACTCAATGGGTTATGGTCATAAAACCGTAAACTCATGTGAGGGGTTCCCATGAACCCTAAACTCAATAGCTACGTCCTATAACACTTAGATGCAATCCTTGGGACTTATAACACTTATATAAGGTGTTTAGCATGTCCTAGGATGTCTTAAATTTTTTGATTAGTTGTGTAAAGACTAATTGGATACATATATGTCTTTTTATATGTAACTAGGATCATTGAGTGTGTTCAAGTCTTCACTTGACACCTAGCAGTCCTATATCATCAGTTCATCCAAACCACTCACTACAATTGACTTCATACCCCTTAATTAACCTTTAAAATGTTTTTAAATGTTTTTAAATTTTTTTAAATGCTTTTATAGGGGGGATACAAGTAAAGCTACTATAGTTATTATATCAATAAAATGTGATTAATAACTATCAAGAAGTGAATCTCTTACATTCAAACTGTTTTACTTCAAACTGTCTTACAAACTCTTTTACATACCAAATGCTTCTTATGAAACTTCTTTTATACTTTAAAATTGTCAAAATGCATGCCTATATATGTATATTTATATAAGTAATGTTTAAAAGACTTAGGACGGCTAGCTCACCTTATTTCATTTTCCTCGTTGGGATATGGCCTTAGGGCATCGGTTAATAGTCCAAAGGTCGTTTCAATATTAGTTATATATCATGTATACATATATAAACATAAAAGTTCCATCAGTCCATTCAATACCTTTGGGTAGCAAAGGTATACTCACATGCTCATATACATAAATAACATTACTAGTAGACTATAATAGGTATAGTTTAGGGAGATACTAATACTATTATTAGAACAATGAAACATACAATGAGTCAGTTCATAAATGATTCAATAACAAACAATAGATACTATGATGAGAAACTAACAATAGATACTATGATGAGAAACAAAATATACACGCTAGATAGAGAAAGAACACACAATTCAGCTAACACTTACATTACATATACATTAATACAGTTATATTAGCCACTAAATGGGGGCATGGCACTACCTTCCATGACCGTTTTTGTATCCAGAATCTCCTTAATTGGGGAGCGTATGATTTTGTGTATAGATCTATACTGGATTGACTATCGTACACCTTTTTGCTCGCTACAGTTTGACTTGCAAGTCTACGGGTGCCAAATGTCATTTCTTATGGCGTCTTACATCGTCGTTTTACTATTAAGTCGGTAGCAGGGTACAGACCGATCACATGGTACTTTAAATAATAATTGGTTTAAGGTAGTTAGTACCATAGTAGTTACTTAATATAACACTACAATACTATAATATTTTTCCCATTACATTCACTTCGTGAACATTCACACAATGCACGGTAATGTAAAAACTATATTTTTGGTTAATGATAATCAGATTTGGAAAATACACACTCTTACAAGAGACACACACACACACAGATACTACTTTTAGTAGGAAAGATAGGGTTTTCTAGGAGAGTTTCAAACAAATAAAACTTTACAAAACTTATTCATTACATCTTACAAACATCTTACAAATGCTTTCATACAAACACATACACTAATATACTTATGATATCACTAGCTTTAAAGCTGATACTCGCCTTCAAAATAACTTGTATTCTCAGGTCACCAGTAGACAGGTACCCGTGCCAGGTTTTTGAGAAGATGGAGCTTGTTTAATACTCCTCCTTTATTTTGATGTACATTTTTGGTGTCTATATAACTTGACAAAACACACTTGTATGAAATTATATTATTAATGCAATGGATGATGTTATTTCTTGTTTACTAGTTTGCATTATTATGACACTATACATGACATCCTCCACCCCCGAACAATTTCGCCGTTCCGGTTTTGGGGTGTGACAGCATGCATGTCATAAAATGAATGAGTAACAAACATATTCCTGCTAGGACACATTGCTTAGGCCCAATCCCCCTTGATAAGTACATCAAGCCCTTGGGACACAATGGCTCAGCTCGATCTCCCGTACCCGAACCAATTTGGGCACATGGGGCATACTCGATCCCCCTTGTTCAATTCGTCGAGCCTTTGGGACACAATGGCTACAGCCTATCTCCACTCGGATGTGGCAATTACTACCCTGCATAATCCGTAATACGTGAAGGAAATCACAAGATTCAACCCAGCCTAATACTACCCACATAAAAAACACATAACATACACAAGCTTACGGAAAGAGAATATAACACAACACATTGTAGTGAAGAAATCACCTCCAAACACAACACAATGTAGTGAAGAAATCACCTCCAAACACAATGCAACCTCCCAAGCAACCCGAAACTCACTCACACCTACTTTACCTTCACAATTCCTAATGATAATAAATTAAGTTGAGTTTACTTACTAAATTTCCGTAATTAAGCAAATATACTTTGAGTAAAATTTTATATTTGTACTTAAAAATTAGGGTTTGTTCAGGACCTATTTTCCACACTTTAACCTCCGTAACTTTCCAAACCATTTTACATGAATAATAGGCCCTTAACTGTGAACGTAGTATCCGCACACCTCCAGACGAATTGTCTACGATTTATGGCGAATTTTACAAAACTGCCTCACATAAAAGTTTATTCCGGCCTAGTCTTGGTAAATGATCGTGTTTAACCTAGCTAGAAGCATTTTTGGATTTTGGTGAAAACTAATGAATTGTAGAGAACCTACATACGAAACATTTTTCATATGTTTTTACCAAAAAAGGGTTTTCCATGACTGAGATATGATCTTTCAAAGATGTGGAAAATTATGGCATTTCCATAAATTCTCAACTTTCGCTTTTTAAGGTTATTTAGCTTCTTAACGAATTAAGACTCAATCCAAAACGCCTTATTTTCTGGAAATAAGTTCTTATCAGAAGTGAAAATCTATTGAGTCAAGATTTAAATTATATTCCAATATCAAACTCTAAAGTACATGGCTTTTTCGAGAAACAAAGTGGATGGAAAAAAATTGGGATTTGACAACTAAGGTTAGGGATTAAGCCACTCAACCCATTAAGTCCCAAAATTGATTAGACCTTCCATGTATGTATCACATCAGCTCTAGGTCTTATAACAATTTTCCAAGAAATGAGAAAGATATGATACCTAGGTTGTTGAGATTGAAAGCTTCATACAAACCATGAACCTAAAACGATTTCGACAACCACCCTAAAACTTATGCTATGATCGATGACCAGTAACTCAAGCTTTGAAGATTTAATTTCCAATTAGAACAGTCAAAACTCTATAATGTATCTTGGGAACCTACTCTCCATATTTCATGAATATCCAACAGTTGTATCGTCTGGGATCATCCAAACACTACTGCATGGTATTAAAAAACGGGAATTTCGAAAATTATCAAACTTGGAGTTGTTTCCCTTTCCCTCCTCTTTGATCAAAGTCTTTCATAAGGAAAGGCTAGGTTTTTTTAAGTTTATATTATTTCATGATCCACCTTGGCTTCCTTTGATCCCTATGGCTCCAAACCTTGACACTTAGGTACTCCTTTTTAATTCCTTAGCAAACTTAACATATTTCTTTAATATTATAGGTTTCTATCGCCTCATATATTCCTTTTATAAACTAATATGAATCCTTAAAATCATGTTACCACTTTAAACCCGAAAATAATAACCCTTAACATTATAAATCAATTTATCTGATAATTAACGATTTTAAAATATAAAACAGAAAATGGGGTGTTACACACCTTCCTTCTGAGACGAAGAGCACAATTGTTGCTCTCATCTCATCCTCTTCTCTTGACCAGTACAACACCAATATGTGGCGATTTCTTTTCCCGATGAACAACAAGAGGCAACGACCTCTTGTTTTGCTCGCCCCACCTCTTAATTTCACCCACCAAACCAATGATCCACCTTGTGGTTGTTCCCATTTGTGCTTCTCCTTCTCCATCAGGCGAGTATCAAACCCCCTAATCGATTATGCCTCTTTGCTTTCCTTCATGTTTCCTTCATTTGCCATCAATCATATTTCCTTTCCGTCGGTCGTTCAAACAAGAGATGAGGACATAAATCCAGAAGTCCTTTTAACTTTGATGAAATAACAAAACAACCCTCCGTTAAAACATCCATTTAAAATAAGTCCCAATACCCAAACATTGAGCCCATTTATTCAAAACAGCTCCTTCCTTGACTTATTTAAAAAAAAAAAAGTAGTCCTACTTTGGTTAATGAAATTACAAAACAACCCTTATAGCATAGTGAAGTTACAAAAAAAAACCCTATAGTGTAAATTCGTTACAAAACCATCCTGAATGTATTTCAAAATTCAAGAATCTTGGCTTTACGGTTTCTCATGACAAGTTTCTAAAAATAAACTGATTTCATACAAATCTAACTTATGTTTCGAGGGTGAGCTCTAACAACCCCTTTTTAATATTTCTAATATTTCAGGGAAGGGCGGATACATGTTTCTATATACTTTGTTTATGCAAACAAATTATCATTTTATGCAAAAGCACAATAAATCTAGTTTATCAATATGTTATTTGACAATGTAACATATTGTTACAAATAAACTAGTATACACTTTCCATTTACATATTATAGTTATTTTGTCATGATATAACAAGTCTATACAACCAACACTACATGATATAAAAATATATGATTTTATGTGACATTATATGTCATAAGAAGGGTGTCATAAAACTTTGTAGTATTTCAAGGATTCAAATTATTTATATACATATATATTTGTATGTTTAAATACATAAATTATATAATATGTAAATACTTGAGACATACATTTTTATATAAACGAGTACCTTACAATATACATACATACCATTTAGACTCGACTTTTATGAATTTTATATAATTCATTAAGCCTAGTAACTTATCCACCCATAAGTTAGGGATGAGAATTGCTCACATACCTTAGTTAACGGATTTTTAGTGAGACTATATTTGTTAGCTAATTCTAAATACTTAGCATACCCACACTACTATAACCGTTAATCTTCGAAGCGAAATATATATGTATAGATCTATACGAGGTTGACATCCCCACCTACGGTTTCTAGCTATAACCTCGACTAATCAATCAAAGTGGGTGATAAGTATTTATTATTGTTGATCAAACATCCAATGAAGCATTTTAGGGGGTACATTCAATGACATAACTCTGTTATAGGACACACTATAAACATTAACTAGAATCTCTCTCTCTCTCTCTCTCTCTCTCTCTCTTTCTCTCTCTCTCTCTCAGTACAAACCATGGGCTTGGTTTCTTTCAAAACTATTTGAAGTATCGATTTACTTATAGAGCAGTACAGTTTGGTTTTCAAGTATATTAAATGATTCTTTACAAATACAGTTTTAAGTATGGATTTACTTATACAAAGATACATTTTGGCTTTCAAATACTCTTTACAAACATAACTTTTAGTATTCTTATACTTATAAAGAAAATTCGTTTTAGAAATTTCAAAAGTTGATGAGAATTAATCTCAGATCGATTAGATCTTTCACATGTAAAACGATGATGAACAAACAAAACAAACACAATATGATTATGAACACAGTATGGAATCAACGTAATGCTTATGATTGAAATATAGTCACGCTTCAGCAGAGCTCGGTAAAGAATCTCCGCTATAGAGGCGAGCTAGGGTTTACAATAAATAATTAAAGCGTTACTAATAAAAGATGCGTGCATGTGCCTTAAATACTAAAACCCTAGAACACAAAAACATGCACGGTTGGACAGGCCGAAACCGGCTACAAAACTGGGCTAAGGACCGAGCCCATGACGCAACATTATAAGCCCAACAAAAGTATTATTATTGTTAGCAGAAAACTTTTAACTCTCATCAACCTTGTGTCGAACCTCAAAACTACATGTATTCTCAGGAAATCACTAAACAAAAATTCAAGACGGATTGGATTAAAGGAGACATAGTTTACTGTTTGTTGTATTTGTGTTATATATATTCAGTTTATCTGTGATCTATGAACATAGTCGGACAACCTGTCATGTTCCGCCACCTTGGTCGGGGGTGTGACAGTATGCATCATGATTAAACGTAAAAAAGATTTTTTATCTTGAGAATGCTTGATTTAGCCTTCTTTCATATTCTTTGTTTGTATATCGACTTATGGTAGAATCAATTATTCGACTGTCTATTGAATATGCCATTATGTATGATTAACATACGTAATGCAACCACAATGTTAGTGGAGGTTTCATGGGTTAAGTGTGTGAATCTTAGAGTGCTAGCAGAAGTAAGGAATTCGTAGTTAATATTGACAGAGTAAGTGTAGGGCGTATAGGTACCATATTTGTTTTGTGCCTACTTGCCTAGTAATTTTGTGTCAATCATCCGAGAGAAATATAGGTAGGTGTGGAAAGGTAGTATGGGACCGTACTACTAGATGCCAAGACACATATGTGTATTGAGGATGTCATGACTTCTGAGGGATGAGTGGTCGAGTATTGATGTGTTAGAGTAGAATTTGATTTTCTACCATTTTTCGATTTATTTTCGTCAAGGTGACTACGGGAGGTTTAGGATCAAGTGTAGATGGAACAAAAAGGCCAAGTTAGGTAATAATGAGATTCATGAGTTGATCACTATTCAAGAAACTTTGGCGTTCAGGGAGGCGATCCTATAGGTCATTGGGTCTATCAAGACCACTTTGATCGAGATTTTTGATGAGCATTATGTTTATGTCACTGATGCTGCTGATACGTAGGCACGATAACCATCGCTTATAGGGAAGAGGGTCTATTCAGTACTGGGAGATCAGCAACATGAAGCCCTAGAGTTCGATGAGATCAAGGGAGTGATTCATTCTATAAGTTAGATGTATGGTGTTGAGGGTGTTTTTATATGTATTCATGTCCGGAGAACAAGAATGTGAAGTTTGCACTGAACCCTCTTCTCCTATAGGGCGAAGGAATGATGTAAGTTTCCCACCCAGAGTCTTTCCATTGTGGAGCGGTATGTGGTGACATGGGAAAGGTTCGGTAAAATGTTCCGTGTTGAATATGTTCCCCTGAGCGGGGGGGGGGGGGGGGGGGGGGGGGGAGAGAGAGAGAGAGAGAGAGAGAGAGAGAGAGAGAGGGTGGCCCAGGAGTCAATGATTTTTTTTATTTTTTATTTTTTATTTTAAAACTAGGAGAATGTCCACGCATTGCGCAGAAACACCTATATGTTTTTTTTAAATATAATAATAACGTTGTTGTTAAATTTGATATAATAATTCATATACTGAATTGATATAATATATTAATTATTTTGAATTATATGATAATATATACATCTATTATAACTGCATAATCTCAATCGTTCGAATGACTTCTACCCACGAGTTACACATGAATAAAATTAAATATAATATATGGGTTAATGTTATTTATAGTTGTTGTTATTTTTAATTAATTTTTTAAAATTTATCTGCTTAGTATTTTAATTTCTATAATTATAATTATTTAAAGCGTCAAACATTATTTTTTGATTTTAAAGTTAACAATATAATCATTTATATAGAGTTGTTTTTAACTATTATTATTGTAAGTTATTTTAAGTTATTTATTCGAAAGTTATAATGAATATAAAAATATATTTAGAAAATATTTTAGTTAAATAGATATTACAATTTAGTTTTGCATTTATCACTACAAATTATGACTTTTAACTATTTACAAAATATTCTTTGGTTTTTTAAGTGGAACTGAAAATTATATTTAAGATGACAATGTGATTTTATATTTAAATTAACAATTTAAGTATTTTGTCCAAACTGTTCAAAAGTTGTAGTTTTAAACTGATAATGGTTTACATACAACAACATTTTAAATCTAATAAATTAAGTGTAATATGTTAAAAGTTAAAAACATAACTTTATAAATAGAAGTATAGTTATTATTTTATAATTGAAATTTAGTTTATTTATGATTACAATTTATGTTCGATATTTATTTAACCTTATTAACCAACTCATAATAATTATTAGAACGACACTACAATTTATTACTTTTAACTATTTATAAAATATTTTTTAGGTTCTTTAAGTTAAACTAAAATTTATATTTAAGTTGACAATTACCATGTTATATTTAAATTAATAATTTAAGTATTTTATACAAATTGTTCCAAAATTGTATCTTTAAAATGATAATGGTTTACATCCAACAATATATTATAGTTAATAAATTAAGTATAATATGTTAAAAGTTAAAAAACATATCTTTATAAGTAGAAGTAAATATATTATTTTAGTATTGAAATTTAGTTTATATATGATTACACTTTAGGTTTGATATTTAGGAGTTTCAAATGAGTGTGGCGACAGGAAAAATGCATGAGAGTTTCAAATGAATGTGGTGAAAGGAAAAATCTTTCCTTTATTATATAGTATGATATGATGATATGATATAATATGATATAAAAGTGTTTCAGCGGAAGTCTATAAAACTTTATTGAGGCTTCAATGTGTTGAATCTATATGCCCAAGAATCATTATGGAGTGATATTGCTAATAATATATGATCCTATAGGGTCACACATTTATCAAGTTGGCACATTTTGCATATTTATTATCAATGTGATTATTAATAAATAATATCGATTCTTGTATTTAATTAGGGAATAATTGTTGTATTATGAAAATAATATCGATTCCTGCTTTGTCTCCCATGCTTCTAAATGCTAGAAATACTTTTGAGTATTTTAATAAAAAAATCCTTACTTTGCATAGATTATAAAAGAGATGCATGAGGCTTACAAAAGTCGGTAGTTTATGGTGAAATCTATCCATTTCTTCTCATGGCCTAGATTATAAAAGAGATGCATGAAGAGATGCATGAGGCTTACAAAAGTCGCTAGCTTGGTTATATAAAAGTTGCCTTATAAAAAACAAAGAGTTTTTTGTTGTAATATTTGATAT